AGCGATTCTCCTGTCTCAGCCTCCAGAGTAGCTGGGATTACAGGCGTGTGCCACCACGCCTGGCTAATTTTTATATTTTTGGTAGCGATAGGGTTTCACCATGTTGGTCAGGCTGGTCTTGAACCCCTGATCTCAAGTGATCCACCTGCCTTGGCCTCCCAAAATGCTGGGATTACACGTGTGAGCCACTGTGCCCAGCCCCACCTTCGTGCTTTTGACACTTTCCACTGCTTTGTCCACCTCTCTGCCTCCCAGGTGCCTCCAGCCTTCCAGGGCCATCCCAAAGCCGCTCCTCTGGGAGGCCTCCTGTACTAGTCTAGTCCTCATGGATCAACCCTTCTCTGAATCCCAGTGCAACTTAAAAACAGACCAGTGTAGCTAAGCACTTGATTACAGGGAACATGTTTTCTCCCTAACTAGATAGATTGCTAATTGCAGGAGGATGAAAACAACAATAAGAGCTATGTTGGAGGCCAAGGAGAGAGGATGGCTTGAGGCCAGGAGTTCGAGGCCAGCCTGGGCAACATAGGGAGACCTCGTCTCTAACAAAAATTTAAAAATTAGCCAGATGTCGTGATGTGCACCTGTAGTTAGCTCAGCTACTCTGGAGGCTGAGGTGGGAGGACTGCTTGAGCTCAGGATGTGAAGGCTGCAGTGAGCTGTGATCACGCCACTGTATTCCAGCTTAGGTGGCAGAGCAAAGAGCTGTCATTTATTCAGTGCTCACTATGCGCTAGGTACTTTGAGAAGCCCTTTACAAGGATTATTTTGTTTCATTGCCACAACAGCCCTATAAGGTAGACCCATTTACAGATAAGGAAATGGGCTCAGAGAGGTTAAAATTTGTCCAGAGTCGTGGAGTTGACAATGACTGTGTGTTCAGCACGATTCACAGTGCCTAGCTAGTCCTCAGTATCAGGTGAGAGTGAGGAAAGCTAGAATCTGCCAGATTTCTCAAGTCTGTTTGGGATTCTAGAACCATGGCATCTCCAAAACAAGACTATAGTAGGCCGGGCGCAGTGGCTTACGCCTGTAATCCCAGCACTTTGGGAGGCCAAGGCGGGTGGATCACGAGGTCAGGAGAATGAGACCGTCCTGGCTAACACAGTGAAATCCCATCTCACTAAAAATACAAGAAATTAGCCAGGCGTGGTGGTGGGCGCCTGTAGTCCCAGCTACTCGGGAGGCTGAGGCAGGAGAATGGTGTGAACCCGGGAGGCAGAGCTTGCAGTGAGCCAAGATCGTGCCACTGCACTCCAGCCTGGGCGACAGAGTGAGACTCCGTCTCAAAAAAAAGAAAAAAAAAGACTCTGGCCATCAGAGTCACACAAGGTGTTGATGCGCATGGAAAGACTCTGTTCTGGAACTTTATACTCCTCTTGCCTTCTTAGTACTTGCTTTGTAATGCTTTTAATTAAGCAAAAAGAAGAATAAATTCTGGTACATACTTGAAGAGCTGTTAGCTCTCTCTCCTCTCTTATTTTTACTTTGTTTATAGCTAGTATCAAACTAGCTATACACTTGAGTTAGCCCTAGGGGCAAATGCTTATCCATGCATGCATGCATCTGTTCATCCATCTATCCATCCCTACATCCATCCATCCATCTCTCCATCCATCCCTGCATCCCTGCATCCATCCATCCATCCATCCATCCACCCATCCATCCATCTCGCCACCCATCCATCCATCCCTGCATCCCTGCATCCATTCATCCATCCATCTATCCATCTCTGAATCCATACATCCATCCACTTAGTCATGTACTGTTTTATTCATTCATTCAACAAATACTTTCTGAACACCTATTCTGCAATGAACACAAAGCAGGACTCTGCAGTAAGTCTTATGGAGAACAGAAAGATGAGTCAGAGGAGCTAAGATGCCTCTCCAGAAATAAGGCATGCATCTAGATAACTCCCATGCAAAGTAGAAAACTACATGTACCAGATAACATAGTATAAAGCACTATGAAAAGTCACAGAAGAGATTCCTCCTGCTGGAATGTCAAGAGAGGGGAAAGGGTTTATTGGAGGAAGAGGTATTTGAGGTAGGTCTCGAAAGATGCCCAGTTTGAGATCATGCAAAAATGGAAAAAGGGCCTCCTGACAGAGAAAGCAACCTAAGGTGGGGACATGGGGATGTACTGGGCCTGCGTGGAGAACAGCAAGTATGGCTGGATTGGAGAACTCATGAGGTTGAGATGCATTTGGGACAGGAGGTCGAGGCCAGATTGTGGAGGCCCTGAACCCAACCTAGGGTTAGGTCGTAATCTGTTGGCAACAGAGGGGCACAGAAGGCTCAAAAACTTTGTTTAAGCAAAGAAGTGACACAACTCAAGCAGTGTTTTGGGAAAATGAATCTGGTGGCAGCCTGACAGCCAGATTGGACAGGCAGAGCCGATCCATGTCCACGGGGAGACCAGTCCGGAAGCTGCAGCAGTAGTTCAGCAGGGCACTGTGAAGATCTAGACTTGGACAGGAAGGAGAGAGGGCAAATTGGAGAAACCCTAGAGGCAGAATGTGCAAAGCAGGACTGGATCTGGGGCACCCATGGCGGAGGCTACAAGTCTGAGAAACTGGGAGAAGGAGAAAGGAGGAAGTCACTTTGACAGGTGAAGGTTGTGGTGGGTGCAGCAGGGGAACAGGTAGGAATGTCCAGGAGGAAAGGAACCTACAGAAGAGGACAGGCTGGAACCAGAGATGTGGGAGCCATTTGCCTAGAGGTCATAGTCCGAACACGAGATTGCCAAAGGAGAAAGAAGGTCAAAAACAGCATCCTGGGAACCTGGGGGACTGAAAAGAAATAGCCAGAGATGGCACAGTCAGAGAGAGGAAAACTAGATGGCAGCTCCCAGGGGCCGGGGAGTCTCTAGTGGGTCTTTGTGTTTTCAGCAAAGGGTCTGATACACAGTAAATGTGCAAAGCACATTGAGAGAGAGAATGAGAGGGAGGGAGGGATAGAGGGAGGGGTGAGAGAGTAGAACATCATGGAAGCCATGTGTCACCGTGGAGAAGGTGAGAGAAGTGCTTTCCTCCAGCTTGAATGTCAGGGCCATAGTGGCCTCCTGGTTAGGGATTGGGGGGTGACGAGGGTGCTGGCGAGGTGGTACAGCCATGGGGAGTGGCCCTTCCAAGAAGTGTGATAGAAGGGCAGGGTCATTTTGGAGGAGGCAAGATTGGCCTAAGGCCTTTAATGTGTTTTTGCAGACAGCAGAGAGGGAACAGTAGACAGGAAAGACTGAGGCTGCAGGGGGCAGTGGGCACTAGGTGGGCGGAGCAAGATGGCAGCAGGAGGGAAGGGATCAAGTTCATGGCCAAGTACAAGACTGGCTCTGGGAAGAAAGGTTTCCTGGAAACAAAGATAAGCTGGGCAGTGGCTCATGCCTATAACCCCGACACTTTGGGATGCAGAGGTGGGAGAATCACTTGAGCCCAGGAATTCGACACCAGCATGGGCAACATAGAGAGACCCTATCTCTACAAAAGAATTTTTTTTTAATTAGTTGGGTGTCGTGAAGTACGCCTATAGTCTCAGCTACTTGGAGGCTGAGGCAGGAGGATGGGTTGAGCCCGGGAGGTCAAGGCTGCGGTGAGCTATGATCATGTCACTGTGCTCCCTGGAAAGGAGAGGACAGGGAAAGAAGTTGGGTAACAACCATACAGGGCTTCCATTTTCCCAGCAAAAGTGAGAGAT